ATCCATAGTTTCACAAAAATTGCTCTTTTAAAACATTTGAAAGATAATCACAAGCTAACTTGGATGTAACTTGGATGTAACTTCACAATTAAAAATAAAAAGTGTCAAAAGTGAAATGCCAGAAGTATCAACTATCAAACTTAGTACTTAAGGAAATCAGACATATTAATCACTTAATAATAATTATCAGTGTTAAATAAAAGAGTGATAACTGGAATTTTAACTGAGTTTTGCCTACTCAACTTTTCTATAGTGTCCATGTACTTGATATACCTGTGCTTTCTTAGCTCGACTTTTGAATCATTAGGTGTCTAATATAACTGAATTTTCTCTGTCAGGTTAGCAGTTTATTGTTCAGCCATCTCCATCACATTATCTCAGTAACTTTTAATGTGGTTGGTTGAAGCAGGAAAAGTGATAAAAGAAAGGTAGAAAATAATTGAGTAATGTTGAATATCAGTAAGTATTGTCTTACGTGCTTAGTAAGTTGGATTAAAAAAAATTTTTTTTTTTTTTGGAAACAGAATCTCACTGTGTCACCCTTTGTAGAGTGCTATGGTGTTACAGCTCATAGCAACCTCAAACTCTTGGACCTAAGTGATTCTCTTGCCTCAACCTCCCAAGTAGTGGTGACTACAGGCACCTGCCACAACGCCCGGCTGTTTTTTGGTTGTAGATGTCATTGTTGTTTGGCAGGCCTGTGCTGGGTTCGAACCTGCCAGCTCTTGTGTATGTGGCTGGGGCCCTAGCTGCTGAGCTACAGGCACCGAGCTGGATTCAAAATTTTTTACTTCCTTCAAATTATAAAGTCATACATTTGTTCCTTTCCCTGTGCAACTTTGCAGTAGCTCCCGCTAGAACAGGCCAAATATATTTCTCTGCCTCATTGATAGTGTTCTTGGCTCTATGATCTACTTGGGCTGGTCAGTGAGCAGAGGTCTTAAATACACTCCTGATTTGATTTGGACTCCTATTCTCTGATCCACCAAGAAGAACATGTTCCATGTATTCAGTTGCTCATTCAGTTACTGGGCTCAATATTGAAGACACATTGGAGTAGTTTTGAAACTGACCAGAAATCTGGTATGTAGCCTAGCTCTCTCGTGTCCACCTAGATCAACTGACACACAGTCAATCTGCAGACTCATGAATATAAAGTAAGTGTTTTTATAAACCACTGAGATGTCAAGGTTGTTAGTTACTCAAGAATAACTAGTGGTAGATAGTCAAATTGTCTACGTTTCCGTCAGCACCTTTCTTTACTGGAAACATATATTTTTAGTTTTTTATCTGTAGCTACAATGAGTACAAGCACAATTTATAGGACAGAGGAGATGGAAGAAAATGTTTTTAGGCAGAAAAGTAAATTAGGACAGCCCAAACTAGACTAATTTCAGTATTATTCCTTAAGGAGTATTATTAGATTCTAAAATTACCAGCTAATTTTTAACATTGGAACATTTCAAGTAAAAAAAGGTACTTTGCCAAATCAAATACATCTTCTAGATACAGTGTTTTATAAAATCTAATGATAATTTTTCTCAATAAAAGGATTCCTCAGTTAAGGAATTACACTAATGTTATGACTCTTTGTTGATAAAACTGTAAAATACTATAATTCCATATAAACCAATCTTATGTTTATCCTTGGAAGTTCAAATATTAGAAATCTTGTTATGAAAGAGACTGGAAAAAATAGGTCTAGGAGACATAATATCCATCTGACCAGCGTTCCAAAGAAAGAAGAGAAAAGAGGAGCTGGAAGAGAAGAACTATTCAACAAAGTAAATCAAAAGGGCCCAGAGGCACCGGCTAAGGCGCCAGCCATGTACACCTAAGGTGGCGGGTTCGAATCCCCAGCCCGGACCCGCCAAACAACAATGACGGCTGCAACCAAAAAATAGCCGGGTGTTGTGGCGGGCGCCTGTGGTCCCAGCTACTTGGGAGGCGGAGGCAGGAGACTCGCTTGAGCCCAGGAGTTGGAGGTTGCTGTGAGCTGTAATGCCACGGCACGCTACCCAGGGGGAGAGCTTGAGGCTCTGTCTCCAAAAAAAAAAAAAAAAAAAAAAAAAAGGGCCCAGAGGCAAATGAGAAGAAAAATGTTAAAACATACCCTGGTAAAATTTCTAGAATCTAAGGTTAAGGAATAAATCTTAGATTTCTCCCATCAGAGAAGGACAGTAGTGGCCTGGATGGAGAGAACGTGGCAGATTTGAAATATATTGGATTGATAATCTGCAGAACTGCTAACACATTTGTTGCAAATAGGAAGGGAAGAAATGAACTGATCATTTCTATGGTTTTTGGATTGAATAAATATATGGGTGGTGGTAAACGGCAATTTTTTTACTAAGATAAAATTTGCCATTTTAAAGTATACAATTCAGCATCTCTTAGTACATTTATAGTGTTATACAACCGTCACTGCTATCTAATCCATCACCCCAAAAGGAAACCATGTACCTATTAAGCAGTCACTCATTTCTCTCTCCTCCTAGCCCCTGGAAACTACTAGTCTACTTTCTGCCTTTGCCTATTCTGAACATTTTGTATAAATGGAATCATACAACATGTGACTTTGTCTGGCTTCTTATACTTAGCATAGTGTTTTCAAGGCTTTCAGTGTTGTATCATGAATCAGGCCTTCATTCTTTTTATGGCTAAATAATATTCCATTGTATAAATATGCCCTATTTTGTTTATCTGTTCACCAGTTAACATTTGGGTTGTTTTCACTTCCTTGCTATTATGGATAATGCTGCTATGAATATCTGTGCTCAAGTTTTTGCTTGAAAACCTGTTTTCATGTCTTTTGGGTGAGTGGAATGGCTGATTCATATGGTAATTCTGTTTTTAACTTGTTGAGGAACCATCAAACTGTTTTACATAGTCGCTACAAAGTCTTACATTCCTACCAGCACTATATGAGGACTCGAATCTCGCCACATCCTCACTAATTTTTTTTGTTATCCTTTTTTATAAAAATTATTATTATACCTATCTTTAATGGTTATAAAGTAATATCTCATTGTGGCTTTGATTTGCTTTTATATAATTGCTGAGCAACTTTTCATGTGCTTATTGGCCATTTATGTATCGTCTTTGGAGAAGTATTTATTCAAGTGCTGTGCCCATTTTTTTAAGTTGTATTTTTGCTGTTATAAGACTTCATATATTCTGAATGCTATACCTTTATGAGATACAGGATTTACAAATATTTTCTCCCATTCTGTGAATTGGAGTTTTACATTTTGATGAAATCCAGTTTATATATTTTTTTCTTTTGATACTCACATTTTTGGCATCATTATCTAAGAATCCATTTCCATTCTTTTGATTCTCATTCTAATGCTTTCTTCTGACATATCTCCAAGTTTACAGTTTTTCTCATCAGTGTCTAATCTGCTTTTAAACCCATCTATTGCATTTTTAATTTTATAATTTCAATTCTCTGCTAAAATTCTAAATTTTAATTTTCTTAAACAGGTTAAACAATACTGCATTCAATTCTGTGCCTCATTGTTTCATACTCTGCATTCCCTGTGAGACTGTTTCTGGTTTATATGGCTGTCTGATTTCCTTTGTTCATGTTATCTTATTTCGGTTATTGTTCCTTAAGGCCCACATATTGTATATGAGAAATGTATAAATAATTTCAGACCTATAATATTACTATCTTTCTCCATGGAGATTTATGTTTGTGTTGGGGAGGCACTAGCAAGCCAGGATTGCTTTAGTTTAATTTTGTAGGATATCTTTGGAGCTGAGCTTTAGTCCCTGTGATGCCCAGTCTAATTTTGCTTCATAATTACTCCTAGATTATAACTATTTGGGCTTTGAACAAAAGTGTTGGAGTTTTTCCAGCTCCCTTTTAGCCCCTTAGTGACCCAAAGACTCCCAGTACATTTTCCTCGTAGCTCTGGAAGACTGTCAGTAGCTTCTTAGCCTTTTGGATGCCACTAAGTAAAAAGTAGTTCCAAATGCCAGACTTCAGTCTTTTCCTTGTAACTTTTGTCATGCTATTAATGCTCTACTGCCTTCAGGAAGATTTTAAAATATATACATGCATATGCATCTATCTATCTATATATGTGTGTGTGTGTATGTATATATATGTTCTTATTTTTTCTTAGGGAAAAGTTGGTCTGAAGTGCATAATCTGCCATTACCAGAGGTAGAAATCAACAGCAGATAAGTGGAAGTAAATAGCATAGAATTATTCTTTTTTAAAAGTTAGAGCAGGCTCGGCCCATAGCTCAGAGGTTCTGGCAACAGCCACATACACCGGGTCTGGTGGGTTCAAGCCCAGACTGGGCCTGGTAAACAACAATGACAACCACAATAAAGAAAAATAGCCAGACATTGTGGTGGGTGTCTGTAGTCCCAGGTACTCCAGAGGCTGAGGCAAGAGAATCGCTTAAGCCTGTTTGTGGTTGCTGTGAGCTGTGACGCCACAGCACTCTATGAGGGCAACAGCTTGAGACTCTGTCTCAAAAAAATAATTAAATTAAATAAAAAATAAATGCTTATAAAGAAAAGTTAGAGCAGATTCAAAGATTACTGTATAATACCAGTTTTACCCACTTTTATAGTTACAGTGATCCTACTGACAGTTGTACATGATGGATTATCAAGTAGGTGACTACCTTCTTTTATGTTTGTATTATCAGGAAAAAAAATTAAGACCATTGCTATAATTCTAATATTTATTGCATTGTGCTATAATTACTTACTTATATGACTGTATCACTCATGAAACAGCAAGTGCCTTATAAGGAGGAGCCCTGTTTTACTCATCTTCTATTTCCTAGTCCTAGACCTGGAATTGAGTACATGGCACATGTAGAAATGAATATATGTGATGAAAATACTTTATTTGGCTTTCAAAGTGAAAAATCAATGTCTGTACATGGTGTTCTGAATCATCCTAAAGTATATATTTTAAAAGGGAAGGAAGACTCTTTCCTCATCTGCTCTTTTGTTTTAACTTCTTCTTACAGGTGGCATCTCCACAGAAAGCGACTGTGCTTTTGAGCCAGACTACGCTGTCCCACCACTTCCAGTGAGTGAAGGTATGCAGCACATTCGGATTATGGAGGGCATGTCTCGCTCTCTTCCATCCTCCCCCTTACTCACACATCAGTCTATCAGTGTTCGGCTCCAACCTGTGAAGAAGTTAACTGGTAAGGACCTTACCTAAATTTAGTATGTTTAACAGGAAACCTAACAGTGTGATAGTTTAGGTCATATCAGATATGTTTATTTGCATCTTTAGGTTTTTCCTTTTTGGCCTTCCTAATGTCCCAGACTCTCAGAAAGTGGAACTTCTACTAATTTTAATTTAGATAATTAGAACAGTATTCAGTATGACACATTGATGTATTTATTTTCTAAATGACCCATCTGTTGTGGGCATGTTTTTCTAGGTTTTCAGAAAGTTTCTAGTTTTGCCAGAATACACTGCAGTTCTGATTTCATTTATCAGCTTGTTTGTGTGGGATTAACAGATGGAGACATTGTAATTTTAGGATAAGAGCTTGATAGTTCAGCAAAGGTGCATTAGTCATATTTTTATTTGAAATCATGATTTGTATATTTCACATCTATTTTTAGAAGCTAATTTAGATATTTTCCTTTACACTGGACATCACTACAACTTCTTAGGATATTTACTATAATTCATAAGTTATGGGGATTGTATTGACTCTTTCGTGTTTGGCCCCACCTGTGAAGAAGTTAACTGGTAAGGACCTTACCTAAATATAGAATGTTTAACAGGAAACCCAACAGCATGATACTTTAGACCATTGCTATAATTCTAACATTTATGATCTCACAATATATATTGCCTATTCATATCAAATGTTATTAAATGAAATTTTGTCTTTTTAAGTTTCCTTAGGGAAGAACTTTTAATATATAGTTGAAGAACATTTATATACAAAAATGTGTAAGCCTAGGTCACTTGGTTAGATTTCTTCCAACATAATCAGTATATCCCTGAGGTCAGTAAATTGACATAGTATTGATTTGTTGATTGGTTATGAGTATATGGAGACATGAAACTAAGTTATTCACAAAGGATATGTTGATGATTTCCTGTGTGCCTCGCATTGAGTTAAAGAGTATGGAGATTTGATTGTCATTATAAAGATTCAAAAGAAAATAAAAGGAGGGAAAATGAAATTCTTAGACTCTTCTGTCTATATAGAGCAAAACCTTTACACCGTTTTGTAATTTTCATCAAAATAATAGTATTTACTTATTCCATACTTAGATAAAGCATAAGTTATATCTCTTTACATTGTTTTATTTAGAAATGACCATGTGACAATCTAATTAGATAGTAAATAAGTCATAATAACTATTGCTGAACCCAGATATTTTAGATGCTAGCTATGGCCAAAGTATTATTATTTTTGTCATGAATAAAATGAAAACATTTGCTGTTTCAGAGACATCCTGGGAAAATCATTGAAAAGTTATTTTGACATTACAAAGGGCCTATACGATAGGTGTTATTCTACATAGTCTGATATATTGTAGTACTTATGATATGTTCTTTTCATAAGAATAATTATCTTGCAATTTTTAGAAACATACTGGAATTTAAGATGTACTATGGTGAATTTTATTATTAGGAAAACCAGGATTGCTATAAAGCAGCATTAGCTAATGCTACATTTTTTACTACTTTTTTTTCTCATTTTTATCTTCAATAAAATAGAAACACAACTTTCATAGACATCCTGAGAAAATTATTGAAAAGCTAATCTGAAAATATAAAGAGGCCCACAGGATAGTATTAGTCTCTGTAGTGTTATTTCAGAATACTTATGATACCATAGCATATGAGTGACTACCTTGTAATTTTAGGAAAAACTTTGGAATTCAAGATATATTATGGTAAAGTTTATTAGATTAAAAAATATAATACATGTGCATGGTAGTCTAAGCCCCATCATTGCTAACCGTTAGATACCATATATTTTTATAAGGTTCAATGAGGAAATGTATAGGAATACTTTTAAGTATTCCTAAGTACTGGAATAACAGTACTAATTAAACTATTAGGTCCAATCCTCATTCAGATACTGTTTTTAATTCAGTTCCAAGGGTGGGAACCTGCAGTCATGGGGCGTTACATAGTCCTCTGGATCCTTGAGTGTACCCTTTTGACTGAATCCAAATTTTACAGAGCAAATCCTTTTAATAAAAAGAATTGTTCTGTGAATTTTGGATTTGATAAGGGCTACACTTGAATCCACACAGGTTCCTCACCACTGAATAGAGAAAAGGAAGCTTTCACTTTCATTTCTGGCCTTAAAGAGATTATTTCTCTAGTTTTTCATACTAAAAGTTGACAATGTAAGGAGGGTTATTACTTATTTCAGTTACCATGAATTAATATTGTTAAAGAAAATCAGAGCTGTCCAGTAAAGTGGTAAAAATAGTTTTATTAATGAACTATTGCAAAGGAAAAAGAGACCTGGGTGTATTAGAAGTGGGCTCGATTCTGAATATAGTAGAGAATTTTCAGTATTTATAGCTGAAGAGCAGAGTGGAAGATGGGAGCAAGGAGCAAGTCAGTGGATGGAAATTTATTAAGGGGAGTTCTCAATCAGGGGTAAGGAGATTCTTGTAAAACCAACTGAACATGATTTTGCTGAAGGCAGGTTAGATTGACCAGATATCAAGTGCAGGGGGATTCTCACTAAAGTGAGTTGGCAGGATTCTTGTTATTACTAGGCTCAGCATGCTTGAAGATAAGGCCCTAGAGGAGGCCTGATTAAAAAGAGGGCTCAGAGGAGTTTGACAAAAGTTTGGTCAAAGAGAGAACCTTTGTTCTCTCACTATGTATATTTTGAACACCTAAAAAGCAGCATGAATTATCAAATAAAGAATCCGTTTGTACTCAAAAACCAGTAGATGTTGGCATGGATAACAGAAAGAAAGGAATGCTTATAAACTATTGGTGGGGCTCCAAATTTAGTATGAGCTCTATGGAAAACAGTATGGAGAGTCATCAGAGAAATAAATGTAGACCAATTCTATCCAATTCAGCAATGCCACCACTGGGTGTCTACCTTAAGGAAAAGGAGCCATTTTATAAAAAAGACATCCACTCTTGAATATTTATCACAGCACAGTTCACAATTGCAAATACAGGGAATCAACCTAAGTGTCCATCAGTTCGTAAATGGGTGAAGAAAATGTGGTGCACGTATTTGCCACGGAGAAAGGAATGAAATAATATATTTTGCAGCAACTTAGATGGAACTGGAGACCATTATGCTAAGTGAAGTATCTCAGGAATGGAAAAACAGACACCACATATACTCTCTAATAATTAGGAGCTAAACTGTGGGCACATGCAGGCGCAAAGAGAGATAGAGGACATTGGAAACCAAGAAGAGGGAAGAATGGGAGAGGATGAGGGGGATGGTTTTTCCTAGGTTTTCTTCTAGAACTTTTATGGTTTCAAGTCTTATATTTAAATCTTTAATCCACCTTGAGTTAATTTTTGTAAATCATGAGAGGTAGTTTCATTTTCTGCATGAGGCTGTCCAATTTTCCTGGCACCGTTTACTAAGTGTGGAGGTCCTTGCCACAGCGTATGCTTTTGTCTGCTTTGTTGAAGGTCAGTTGGTTTATAGGTATTTGGCTTTATTTATGAGTTCTCTATTCCGTTCATTGGTCTGTATGTCTACTTTATACCAGCATCATGCTGTTTTGGTTACTGGCGCTTTATAGTGTCATACAAAGTCAGGTAATGTAATGCCTCCAGATTTGTTCTTTTTGCTTAGGATTGCTGTGGCTATTTATTCATGCTCTTTTTGGATTCCATATTATTTTTATGGTTGTTTTTTATAATTCTGTGAAAAATTAACATTGGTAATTTGATAGGAATTGTATCAAAGCTGTAGATTATTAATACTTTGGATGGTGTGGGTAATTCAATAATTTTGATTCTTTTAACAAAACATGGAATACTTTTCTATTTATTTGTGTTATCTCTGATTTCTTTCATCAGTGTTCTCTAGTTCTGTTTGTAGAGGTCTTTTACATCTTTGGTTAAGGAATTTTATTTATTTTTTAATTTTCTTGCAGCTCTTGTAAATAAGATTGAGTTCTAATTTGATTGTCTCTACTTGGTTGCTCTTAACATATAGAAATTCTACTGATTTGTGTTCATTGATTTTTGTAACCTGAGACTTTACTAACTCATTTTTCTTTTTTGGCCAGGGCTGGGTTTAGGGCTGGGTTTAAACCTGCCACCTCTGGCATATGGGCCTTGAGTCACAAGCACCACCACCCTTCCCTTCTTTTTTTGTAGAGACAGAGTCTCACTTTATTGCCCTCAGTAGAGTGCCATGGTGTCACACAGCTCACAGCAACCTCCAACTCTTGGGCTTAGGTGATTCTCTTGCCTCAGCCTCCCAAGTAGCTGGGACTACAGGTGCCCGCCACAACGCCCAACTGTTTTTTTTTTTGTTGTAGTTGCAGTTTGGCCGGGGCCAGGTTTGAACCCACCACCCTGGGTGTGTGGGGCCAGCACCCTACCCACTGAGCCACAGACACTGCCCTACTGAACTCATTTTTCAATTCTGGGAGTCTTTTGGAGGAGTCTTCAGGGTTTGGGGATCCTCAGCAAATGGGGATAATTTGACTTCCTCTTTTACAATTTGGATGCCCTTTCTTTCTCTTCCCTGATTCCTTCTGGCTAGAACTTACAGTACTATGTTGACTAGAGGTGGCAAAAGTGGGCATCCTTTTCTGCTCCTTTTAGATTTTGTGGTAATTTAACCTATGAGTTTGTTTACAAGAAAATAATTTTCTATTATACTATTTTTTTCATATTTAGTATATGAAACATACTAAATTTCATATTAGTATGAAATAAAAAAATTACCATCATTTGAGTGGTAGTCACTTATACAGAGTACAAGTATTATTTATAATATTTCAGTATTAGTTTATAGCAGGATTATTTATAGTAGCTGTAGTAGAACTACTATTGTGGTACACTGAAATATAGTAGCCCTGTCTTCCTGTCTTTATTTAGCTAACT